CTTTGCTGGCCAAGAAACTGCTGAACCTCTCCCAGTCCACCGCTTTGTGAAACTTTGATTAAGAAATTCTATTACTTGTCGAGGAAGTTCGTCATCGTGCTGGATCGTTGTTCGTTGTCTAACATTAAGAGGAATATCATCCAGTAATATTGGAAAAGCATTTTAAATGAAACGTAAATAACGAGACTCTATCTCCAAAGTGGGATTCCCGAGTTTGTCGTGGATTTTCAAGTGCCCAACAATGTGAATTCAATTGTTATTGATACCGTTTCCATACTCTCACCCGACCTACGTTAAGTCTTTTACCCATTCTTCCGACACTAGTACACGGTTAAGCATCAATCGTATTAAATATTGCTCCTTCTTGAGCAGGTTAATATTGAACGGGACGTTCAGAAGTAGCTGATTGTTTCAAACATCGATGGACATTGCGGAAAATAGTTCTACGAGGCACTGTAGGGGAAAACCGGGTAAGATGACGAAGCGACTAAAATGACTAACTTTCGTTATAAATTCTAAAATGTAATAATTCTTCATGAAACTTACACGGACATCTAAGAATAAGTTTCAGAACTAAATTTTATACTTGCCTTGGCGTTGCAGTCTGCAGATCGACAGCTATTTGACATTTGCCGTTTGAACAGCTCAGGTTATAATTTTTGTGCTCTTAAAAATAGTGTTTTATGATATAACAAACTTAACTATTTGAACATTAATTAATAGCGAAAATAAAGTTTAAGGCAAAATATTGTCTTGTTTGCCAAAAATAATAGATTTTGAATTAGTTTTGGCCTTTTTAATTCTACGTAATGGTGGCGGGTAAGATGGCGCGGCTAAGATGACGAATTCGTCATCTTACCCACAACGTATTTTTATGAACGAATTTTGTACAGTAATTGGTGCTGTCTTTTTCAATCTAGAGAACTTTATAATTACATAAAAATTGTAAATGAATGTGCCTTTGGACTTACATTTCTTTAACTGAGAGAAATAGCATATGAATATGCGGAAAGAAACGAAATTCCCATCGTTTTAAGAGTGAAAAAGGGATGGCCGGAAAAGATTGGACTGCTGGATTTGCCAAAAAATGGAAATTAAGCTTGCGAAAACCAGAATCTACGTCGTTGGCAAGATTAATGGGATTTAATAAAGCATCAGTCGGCATCTTCGATATCGTTAGCGAACTTTATACAAAATACCACTTCAAACCCGAAAGCATTTATAATGCAGATGAAACTGAAACTGAAATACTAAAATTTTTAAAGTCTTCAGTCCACGTGGAAATAGAAGAGTGGCAAAAGTAGTTTCAGCGGAAAGGGGCAAGAATACAACGGTGGTCTGCGCTGCCAATGCTGCTGGTTGCTGATGTTCCACCTTTTTTTGTTTTCGGCAGAGTCCGCATGAAAAACGAACTTCTTCATGGAACACCTGTAGGGTCATCAGGAAGCGCGCAGAAAAACGGATGGATGGATTCGGAGATATTTCTAAAATACCTGAAACACTTCAAGCAACACACGAAATGCTCTTCGGAGGAACCCATTTTACTTTTTGTGGACAATCATTACTTACACGTTACACGTTATTACACGTTACTCTTCAATCTATCGATTATGCAAGTGAATCTGGCATTATATTGGTCGAATTTCCCCCACATACAACCCATCGACTACAACCTATGCATGTGTCATTTTTTGGTCCCTTAAAAACCTATTTTAATCAGGAGTGTGATTGTTTCATGATAACCCACCCAGGGCAAACAATTACTGACAAAGATATTACTGACTAGAGAAATGCCAAATTTGAACTGTGAGAATAGACAAATAGAATATGCAGAAGTTAATATGTTAAACGATACTGACAGTGAGGCTGAGGACAATCAACCGTTGATTAAGCTTGTACCAAAGCAAAACAATCTGGATGAAAATCCAAATCCAATCCAGTAAAAAGGACCTTATATGTTGATGCTGGGAATTCGGCAAACAACGAAATGGATCTGATAGATCAACCGGGTCCAAGCGGAATGCAAATGTTGAAAGAAAAAGTGGAAAATGTTAACCGTCAAAAATCTACAATAACTGATCAGTACAACGAAAAAAAAAAAAAGAGAGTTTCAGTGCAAGAAATAAAACCACTTCCAAGAGCTTTTAGAAACGAGACCATTACTAAAAAGAAAAAGATTACAACAAGAATTATAACGTCTACACCGGTAAAAAAAGAACTTCAAGGAAAAGAAAATCTTGCCATTGAAAACGAAAAAAGAATAAACGAGAAAAAGAAACAGAGAGAACTGAAAAACCAAAGAAAACTTAACGAACAGAAAAATAAAACTCGGAAAAAACATGACGAAAGAAAGAGTGAATGTGAAATTATATTGTGTCCGGGATGTGACGAGACCTACCAAGATCCACCAACGGAGGAGTGGATTCAATGCTCGTCCTGCCAGCATGAGACGCGCAGTAATTTTGATGGAATAAATTACTTTGTGACTTCTGTTAATTCGTCATCTTATCCTCATCCATTCGCCAACTTATCCGACATGTTGGGTAGGATGACGAATTTGCATTTTTTTTTAAACTATACATTTTAAATATTTGGACCTTACTGGATGTAACGATACTGTTTATTTTTGATAAGGAAGTTCCTAAGATTTTGTTATGAGAAAGTTTTGTGAGAATTTATAATAAATAACCAATAATATATACGTTTTTTCTTAACCTCGTCATCTTACCCGGTTTTCCCCTACGAGTGAGAAATCGTCGACGATATTCATCTGCCGCTCATCCGTTTTCATTACACAATCCATAAACAAAATGAATGTCGGCGTATTCTTCTTTCGAAAAATTAAACATTGCATCTTGAAGAGTATTTTAATTTAACACACGAAAATAAATACGCAAAATCCACGGCCACTTGGACTTTCTAATAATAAAATTAACAGCAGAACATAATACTGGAACAACTAATTCAATAAAGCGGTCTATTTTTAAATGTTCTTTAAAATTTCAAAAGCTTGTAGCTCAGTAGAATATCGCCAAATGAGAGGGCAGACGAGAAAATTTTTATTTAAAATTTCCATGACTTATGGATTGCCTATCAAAAATCGGAGAATTTTCAGTATTGTTTATGTTAACATTGAACACGGAATGCGCAGAAACACAGAAATACGCATTTGGGTCACCAGCATATTCACAATGCCGTAATTAAAGCTACGGTATTAGTTAAACTTCCCTCAGCATTTGGTTAGTTTTTCTCAGATATATTTTTCTTTTTAATAAATGTTGAAGATAATTATTGACTAAAAAATATTTAGTTTGTATTTTTATTTAGTATTTTATTATGTGTTTGGAGAAATCAAAATAATAAATAAACAGGCTGTTGCACTGCTTTGTACTAGATAACTAATAAATAGTTCTGCAAAATAAAGTTGGTTATATATAGTCGTGTCTTGAATTGTTCAGTTCGGACCTTTCCGAAGTCAGATTTGTCGATGCATATTGATGATGATTAGAAACGAAGGCGTGTAGAAGGGATTTACCTTTGTGTGGCATCCTGTGAAGTAAGTTATTGCTTATTCCGTACCAGCCCAAAGCGCTAATGAATCCTTCGGTGTCTGTGTAAAGGAAGGAGTGCTGTATGCTAATATTGACTTATTTCGTATGTAGTCGCTTCCTTCCTTCGAAATTACCCGACATCCAAAGGTTAATTTGGTGTGATTCGGGAATACATTATAGGAACCAGTAGGGCTAATCCAATTTTCTAAAGAAAGTTTTAATTCAATTTTTTAATACCATAAGATTTTATGTAAGATGTCAAATTAAATATTTAGATATATGTAGTAAAAATGAAGCTCAAAAAAGCCGAATTTTTGAGTTCCCTTAGATTTTATGTGTTTTTCATGGGCAACATGAAGAGCAAGTAAAATTGTTCAACAACTTCTAATGTTTTTTTTTACAATAGACAGAGGAAGTAAACCACAAACCATGAAAGAAAGGCAAGAGACAACTACAAGCCACAAACACCTAAATTTAATTTGGGAAGTTTAATTTCACTGCACATTTATGTAGTAATTATTTGCCAATATGACGGATGCGCAGGGCAACGTGCACCAAAATCCCAAATTTGGTTCGTGTTTTTCAATTTTAACTTCAAATAAAACCCTAATTAGATCTCATGCGTCTCGCAGAGAAGACAATAATTAAACAGTTCAAGCCAAACAAAAAGACTCTTAACAACAAAGTCTTTTTATACCACAAGTAAGCATAATGTGGAGCTAAATACGTTTTCTGTGCCCCTTTCAGGGAATCAAGAGCTTTAATAAGGAGGTAATTTCAGTGTTACGAAGTATAGGACCCACAAAGGACGTTTTATAAAACTATGCAGCAAAGTGATTATAAACCCCTACACGTGTATTTATGCGTCTTTGTCTCCGAATATTACAAGCTTAACATACCATTTCATCCTTTAACGAAACGAATCTTTCAGTTTTTAAGTAAATTCGAGGGAACTAGACTTATTATTTTTTAATTGAATTTGAATAGGCTCTGAGTGTCATATTGGACTTTTGAAATTGATACGTAGGTTGGATGTTACATAATTAAATTTTGACCCGATGTTGTATAAAAGTTTCAACAGGGAATGCTTGAAATTATCTTCAACTAAATTAAGTTTTGACTCATTTTAGGACTCAGATTTTAGGACGATGTATTAGGACGGACTGGAGTGGAACGACAACTGTTCAACATCGTAAAACAGAGGAAAATGGCATACCTTGGCCATATACCAAGAGGTGCTCGGTACTCCAACCCTAAAGTTATCCTTCAGGGAAGGCGAGGACCGAGAAGAAAACATCATAGCTCAGAAACAGAGGTATTGGTGTGGAGTGTAGGTTGCACTATCAATATTTCATCTGGGGGATAGTAACAGTCTGGCATTCGACTGCCGAAGTGGGAGAGTGGCCACAACATATTAATTTATATGGGATAAGAAGAAGGAGTGGAGAATTAAAGTCAAAATAACATTTCGTGAGATAACACTTAAGCTGTTTTATTTCATTTTTTGCAGTAAGGTTTTCAGATTATTTTAAAATTGTACTGAAAGACAATTTATAGTCAAAAAGCAACATCAAAATTATTCTATCCAAACAGCAAAAACAGCATTCAGCGGACATAGCAAAATGCTCCCGATACGTAGCGGTAGCAATTGCGATTGGGAGCGTGTTGGACATTTGAATTTACATAGCCGAAGTGGAAACGCCAGGTGCATCTGGCACTACAAATCCAACGTGTTGTGAGGTGGATGCCATTTTTAGTAGCGAGTTTATTTTTGCTAGGTAGCGGTAGCGAAGCGATCGGTGTTAGCAGAATTTAGTCTTGAAAGATGAATTTGGTTAGGGTGTATTGGACAGTGATGGTGAGTACAAAATTCCTACATAATAAATTTATGTTGTTTGTTATTATTTATGTTATTGTTCGTATTTACAAAATTAACAAAAAACATTTTTTTCAGGTTCCCAACGGGAAAGTTTTTTCGAAAACCCCACGAATTTTCGAAGATCGTATGAAGGTATGTCTTTTTTTCACACAAACGGTAATCTTTTTTTAAACGCAAATTACACTCACATGAAATAGAGATGCAATTTTAAGTTATTTGCAGAATGTATTTTCCCTAAACCGAAGAAATATTGGACAGGATATGGAGAAATCTGAAAAAAATCTATATAGGCATCAAACACAATATAGGGAAAACTGGAAGGGGTAGAATTTACTAGGGAGGACAAAACGGTTAACCTCCCTAACCTAATACCTCTACAATGGTTCCTGGCATAACGGAAAACGCCCCTTGCCAAAAATAAGGACCCACCCCCTATTCCACCCCCGTAGGTTGTTTTAACAATTTTTTTATTGGTATAATTAAATTAATCAAAGGCTTATAACATGTTTTCATTTTAGAAGTACCAAGGCTAGGAAGTCAAAGAGTTTAATGTTTTATCTACGAAGAAGGCTGACAAATATCGAGGACGCTTGAGTACAAGAAATTAACCTCTTATGAAATGCCCTTGAAAGGAGTAAGAAAATCCAGCAGGAAAGAAATAAAATTTTGCACGTATTATGTGAATTACAAAAAAAGAGCAGTAATTCGAAAACATTTTTATTTGTTACAAGAGCATATTTGCTATTTGGCTCCTTTCCTCATTTCCAACCTCATCTGCAATATCGACTTCCAGGTGTGGTAGATCCTCTTCTAAACATACCAAATGTCTCGCTGCTCTGAAACGTGATAAATTCTAAAATAAAGTCTTTAATAAGTTTACAAATGTAGGCCTCGAAAATATTTTAAGAATAAGTTCCCTCTAAATTCCTTACAGTCTTGCAATTCTTTGGTATTGGACACCTTCATTATCCTCAAATTGGTTCTGCTAATTCCAAAGCCATTTGACTAAATTATCCTCCCTCATTTCGTTTTCAATTAAAACATCCATAACGTCCTTTCTACTAATTTCTGATGTAGTAGGTCCTAGAATACAAAGACGGTTCTACTTTATTAACACATGTTAAATCAGCAGCACTACACACAAACACCGAAAAAGATATACCTTCGAAAAAAATCTAAATTTCCAAATCAACAACACCCAAACAAAAATAAGACACCATAACCTCTACATACATCCACGTTGTCAGTCGCTACCGCTACGTATCGGGAGGGTTTTGCTACGTCCGCTGAAAGCGACCATTTATTTTTGTAAAATTGGAAAAAGAAGAATTAGACCAGATGGCCCCAGTCCACTTGGCCACCCATTTTTAAAAGAGAGCAAAAGAGAATTGACTTTTCTTCGACAGAACGCAGAAAAGCAAATTCTTTCAAATAATTCCATGAAGGAATGTTCATGTTTTTCAATTTACGTGTAAATGCGTAAAAATATTATTTCATGTTAGTAATACAACATGATTAGAAAGTCATCCTTCAGTGTATCCCGTTAAGTAGTGGTAATAACGTTTATCTGGAAAATTTAATCATTCCTGTGGGATCAAAGTTTGGGAGGCAAACAATACAGCCCACGGATTTTTTTGCTGGTAAATTACCACAATTTGTTGGAAAGGATATCATTTCTGATTATTGCAGCCGTTAAAATGTCAAACGTACATTGCCTATTTTTGTAGTGCATGTATTTGGTATTGATTTTCCGTTTATTTTTATCTATTCATATCAAAGTGTGATTTTGAAGAAGAGATAATTTAGTAACGAGTAATAAAAATGGAAAATATTAAATGTAGGTAAGTAGATATCAGCAGTTATAATTTTTTTTTATTATATAAGCAAAATATTTTTATTGATTGCATATTACCATTTTCTGATTCACTTCATTAAATCACCATATCCCAGAGTAATAGCCTGTCATACAGAGAATGCTTATATTAACCAAGGAAAATCAGTTTATCGAGGCACTGAGCAAATTGTTTTTGTTATTCTATAAAAATAATATTGTTGTATTTTTATAGATTCCTTGGAGGCTGGTTGTTTCAAATACCAAAGGGGTTTGCCCGGTTTTGTTTCATTCTAGCAAATAACCTGTATTGCATTCCCACATATGTAATATGGATGTTTTTACTCCACCCATTACGAAAAGTAAATTCAGAGTTGTATTGGAAAATAGAAGGATATTTCTTTCATTGGCTCCTAGCTATGGTAGCATTGTGGTCGCATTCAGCTGGATGTGATGGTAAGCCAATGAAAATAAAAAAAATTGCAAGTAAAAGAGTTGGTAAATAAAAGTGCAATTTGTTTTTTCATTACATGATTATCCTTATCTATTTTATAATGAGGGCACTTTGACAGCATAGAAATTCTACAAACATGTAAATATAATATGGAAAATTAATATGTTTTCATGCATATCAGAAGTTATTTGACCTTTGCAGGAGTGTGATAAAATTGGTTACTATCTATTCATTTTTAGTATGGAATAAGTTAAATTCGAGGCAAAAGTTATTGTGGTTGTTTTTTGTTCAAGGTTATTTCAATAATTATAAGATCACAATTCTTTTTCTACCTACAAAAAAAGCCGCACTTAAGGATGGTTTCACAATTGTTTCTCACATAGATTTCTTTCTAGTTGTAGAAGTTGGTGATGATATAAGTGAATGTATAGAAGAAAGAACATTAATTTTAGCCAACCACCAATCAACTGGTGATGTGCCTTTACTCTTTGCCTGTTTTAATGCAAAGAAACATGTTTTGCCCAACATCATGTGGATAATGGACAGTTTGTTTAAGTACACGAACTTTGGGGTAGTGAGTGTTCTACACCAAGATTTTTTCATTATGTCGGTGGGTTTTAAATTCTTATAATAGCTGTGATATTATAAAACGCGATTACAATTACTTCCTAGGGGAAAACCAATAGGGACAAGTCTTTGCAATCCCTCGCTAATCATTTGCTTGAAAAATACACTCCACTTCACAGGAAGTGGCTGATGTTGTTTCCTGAAGGGGGTTTCCTTCGAAAAAGGAAAGCAGTTTCACATCGTTATGCAGAAAAGAATAACCTGCCCAAATTTGAGAATGTGTCTTTGCCCCGCGTTGGGGCAATGAAGATTATTATGAACACAATAGGACCAAAATCATCCATCAACAACAATGCCAAAACCGCTAATTCAGGTAAATAACAATAGATGTACATGTGTAGTTTACTTCCACTATCTAACAGTGATACTTGTTTGACTTAATGAATCCTTTATAGTACCCTAAAATGTAATTATGTTATTTGAGTCCCTCTATGCGCATCTGTATTTGATATATTTAGATAGAGTTGTCCTTATTTTTAGATGTGAAAAAGGACTGTATTGAATGGGTCCTTGACATAACAATAGCATATCCAAACGGTGAACCTGTTGACTTTAGTCACATAGCTTTCGGTCACCGTGGACCATGTCAGACCGTATTATTTTATCGTCTTTATCGTGCTTCAGAGATACCTGAGGAGACCGATGAAATGACAAATTGGCTTTTCAAACGATGGGAGGAAAAGGAGACCATGTTGCAAGCTTTTTATGATACTGGCTCATTTCCGATGGAGTACAGCAGAAAGAAACCGTGCCCACCCAAAGTTGTTGTGCAGGACTATTTAAGGTTCCTTTTGCTGCACATCTTTTTTATCATATCGACGTATATTCACGTGCGAATGGTTTTGGCGACATATCATTTATGTAGGTCGTTTTGTGTTTACTAGCATTTCCATATAGACTTTTTGGTTTGTTTAGTTAGGTATTATATGCTGCTGTGATTGAAGACAAAACGAGATATGGGGGTGGGGACTGGCAGCTCTCCAAAAGCCTGCATTTACTGATGGACAATTTTTATCCTAATTTTTTTTACTATTTTAAAATACCTCTGAACATTTTCATAAACGTTGAAACTACTCAAATTGTCTCATTTTCTTGATGAACTAAAGGTATGAATTTACATAGTCTGAATTTTTATGATACTACCTACAGTGTTGATTACTCAGTATCTATCTTTCATTCTACCAAATTACAAATCAAACTTGGGAATGAGATCTGCCCGATGAAAGCTTAACTGTGAATTAATATTTTTGAGTAAATGCAATATTATCTTTCGCCTAATAGAGCATGGTCCCAAGTTTGGTGGATGTTTGATGTTAAATTTATTAATAACTAAATATTTATTGAAACCAGTTGCACTTGGTAATTGACTTTTTAAATCAGGGCATTTGTTGGCAGCTGAATGTGTACTTTATGAGCAATTGAACTATGTGGATTGAACCGTAGGGGACTGTTTTTTATATAATCGACATCATTCGGGTTATGTCCGTAAACAAATTGTGGGTTAGGTGGTATTTTTCTCAAAACTTTTTATTTATTCACCTTTTGTGAGAATTATCTTTTTATTGTACAGCAATGAAAGTTTGATTGAAATGTACATTTTCTTTTTCTTTGTACATTTCTTTCCAACTCAAACAAAGCAGTGAGAGTGCAGTATTGCATGACCCTTTATGACCCCCTCTTTTGAATTTTAAATGCACACTTTTTAAGAGCACACAACTATTAAAAGCTTTACCGAATTATGTAAATTATGAAGTGAAGTGTACAGTAAGATTTTTGCCATACTATGACACCGTAGGTTTTTAATACTTGAGCAATTTTTGTTACCACTTATTTTGCTATTTGGCAGAATATTCTATTTTTAAGCGAGGTTTTTTGATATTGAAAACATCCGTGTCTTAAGAGTATATGGAAGTAAACTGAATTTTTAAGGGTATTTGGGACAATAAAAATGTAGTTGGAATAGTAGAAACAAAATCCCTTGTAATTAACAGTTTAGAATGTGTTTCTTGGAAGAAAGTAACAATACGTACATACAAAGAACCAAAAAAAAAGGTTTTGATTTCCTGTGGAATTTCTCATAAGAAAGAAGCAGAAACAGACTGGAATTTTTTTGGCTCGCTTACTATGTCTTATGTGTAGGTATTAGGTCCAAGAAATTGCAAAAAACAGGGTGTCCTATTGAATCAATTAATAAAGGGAGTAAAGACTGTTTAATCGGGACTATTACAAAAATTTGCTACTAATAATTATTTCTTTCATTTGATTGACTTTCGAAGCGGGAAGAATTATTGTTCCAGAATTTTGGATAACAAATTTGTTGCTAGTTGATTTTTTTCAAATTGTACCAATTTAATATCTGACAAGGTGTCGGATCTATGCAAATTTGTATAAAGTTGTATATTGTGTATATTTGAGGCTTTAAAATTGGAACATTTTGCTATTTGTATGTATTGATAATTTCGTGGAACACTATAAATATAAATAGTCCGGACTGTCTTGTCTGATTTTGGAGTTGGCGTTTCGGTCGAGATTGCCCTTATGTGACGGAAAATCAAAAGAAAATATATAAAATTTTGTCAAGAGTTGTAGTTTTAATTGCTTTCAGCCTTTCTGCTTCAAATCGAATATGAATCAATCCGGAGAAATTTTGTCCACCCCGATATTTTCTTCGATCCGAATTCTATAAAAAAGGTTATTTTTTCGTAACCCTAATCAACAGAACGGCTAGGATAGTATCCTGGAATCTCACTGTCAGACTAACCGCAAATATTTTGTGAAAATTTCGATATACGCTGCAAAACCTATTCAGTACCATATTTTTGTGGTGCATGTTAAAAAATTAACAAACAGTACGCTTTATTTGTGTTATGATTCGGGTTATGTTTTTTTTATTTTAATTTCAATTAATTAGTACGATATCTGATGGTTAAGTTATATGGCCGCTAATGATGCGTATGTTAATAAAGAATAGTAATACGAGACATATACTTATTCGGCAGCTTTAATTATATAAATACGCGCGCTAATCGTAAGATAGGACAGTCTTAAAGTCGCTTTGCGTTAGTAATTATTGTGTTATAAATAAAAAATCGTTTTCTAAAAATACGAATTTCACATTTTGAAATAAAATAGGCGCGGTCGGTAGGATCCTTTTCAGCGTGTTTTTGGAAAACTTTCCGTTGCATGTAGTGTACCGGATTGCCGTCGCGAATGGATCGTGATTTCTGCGCTGGATTACCCTTTCGGATTTCGATAGGAACGACACGCTTCCGTTTCAACGGTTAAGAAAAGGACTCCAGATCTACTTACGCGGAGCACTAGGGACTCCTGGCACTTCACTTGGAAAGTGAATCTCTCCGACGAACGTGTTGGTTTATATAGGAACGAAACTAGGAACTTATTGTAAGTTTTTACTGAATTGTTCCTTATAGTTGTGCCTCCTGTTAGTTAAGAAGTGAAAATTTTAAATTTATTGGTGAAAATTTGATGAAGAAATTTAGAAATAGATTATCGGATATTACTTATCCTCGAAGAAATAATTCCACAAATTATCAACTGCGAGATATAGACGAACTTTACTCTAATATTTCTGTATTATATTGTATAGACGAAAAAAATTCTACCTCTATAAATACTAGTCTACAAAGCAAAACTGTTAGTGCAATGGCCGACGCTTTGAGATCAACCGTTAGTTTGCTAAAAACGTTTGATGTACCCCTTCTCGTTTGGATTCTTTTATAAAGTAAATCGTAAGATATTTTACCAATGATGTATAGCAACAAGAATATGTTCTTTTGGCAATTAAATCAAAAATACTAAGAACAGCCAAAGATTTTTTATTAACTCGACCAGACCTTACAACTTGGACCGAGATAAGATTAGCTTTAACACAAAAATTCAGTGATCCAATCACTCGTGCAAATCTTCAGCAACAATTAATATTTTTATCCAAGAAAAACAAATTAAGATTATATCCAAAAACTCAAAACCTTAGTCACCAAAATTAGTAGAAAAATATGTTCTGAAATTCAAAATGCCGAAGCTAGGGCAATATTAATTTCTTAAAACACAGCAACACAAAATCTTTTGGCGAATATTTCCAGCGAGTTGAGAACGTTACTTATGCTTTGGAAAACCTTAATTAATATGAAAAATCATGCAAGAATCATGTTACGCGAATAGCGGTCCCCAAACTAGGATGTGGACTAGACCAATTGGATTGGTTAAAGGTAAAATCAATGATTAATCACCTATTCCAAAATCAAGATATTGAAATACTCGTATGTCACTGGCCAAAAAAGAAACCCAAAATTAGGATGATTTCGGATACTGAAATAAGACCTCCATATACAGTTAAAAAAACACTACAACCCAAAAGACTAGAAGAACAAAACAACCCATCTACAAGAAAAGAAGCTCAAGAAAAGGTAGACAACTCTGAAATGGACACGGTACATTCATCTATGGAAAATCCAATTATAGGAGCTCCATATGTCAATAAAACTCTTAATACATTTAAAAGCCAAATTATATTTAAATGGACTTTAACACAACCTCATGCGAGAACAGAAAGATTATTTGATACTAAGAAAAGACTAATGATGTACATTAACAAAAACCCAACCATGGAAGAAATCCAAAAGCTTCTACGGGACAATTTACCCCCAGACATTTACTGTCTACATTTCCCTAATAAAGAACCCAGTAATTATAAGGACCTACCAGGAAACGTTTAAAAATAATGCATTTAAACCCGTCATTTCTAACACGTTACTCGAAGATGTAAAGGATCAAAACGAACAGAAAGAGATAATAGAAAGATATCACACTACAAAGACATCACATGTGTATAAATATGTTTAATGTGTATTGTCGACTATATTCAGTGCAATGCCAAGTGCGATGTCTATTTCCCTACGACTCTACAATTGTTTTTTGTGGGTTTCAGTTTTCAGTTTTCGTTAATTTTCTCAGTGATTTGTGAATAACAAAAAACAATTATCACTTTATTTGGTCAGTTCCTACCTGTTTTTATAATATAATAATCTTAATCCACTGCATAATAATCGAATTAAATTGAAGTATATAGTGTTTTTAATATCTTTTAAATGACCGGGAATAGAAATGTGAATTTACTTTCGTCACTTACTGAACGCGACATATACATATTTTGTTTCTTGTCTGCTCTAGAAAAAACACGGTTTGTCGGTTTGACAATGATCCGTATTTTTACTTTGCATAATAATCGAATTAAATTGAAGTATATAGTGTTTTTTAATGTCTTTTACATTACAAGAAATAGAAATGTGAATGTTGGTATGAGTTATAAACGCTTTAATACTGTAAACTGCTGAGTAAAGGTTCCCATACATATTATATTATTTGTTTCTCAAAGCGTCAGCAATTTGTCTGTATAAAACCACGGTGCGAACCACATCGCTAGCTTTTTTGTCATCTCGCTTGAATAAAGTTTTTTAAAAAATCAAATTCGTTTTCCACGACGAAAACTAGCGCAGTCGGTAGGATTTCCGTGAAACAAGCATTCCAAAATCGACACTGTTTGGTCTCTCTCAAGAGTTTATTCGCGAAATCCGAACAACACAAAAAACTGTTCAAGTGGGTGCAAAGTGCTCAATTGGCCAGGGGAAGGAACAAGCATCGTCCACAACCCTATTGGTGCGAAATAAGGAACAAAAATCGTCCGAATTTCATACGTAGCCCAGGGAAGAGACAAGCATCGCTCATCCTATTGGAAAACTAGATTAAGAAACGAAACAACCAGGAATGAAAATCGTCGTTCTCTCACTGTTAATGTAAGTTTTTCTTTTGTAAATATTTTTCTGATTCAAACTGGAAAGATTAATTTCTCGTTTTGAAACGTTAGAGTTAAAACCTAGAATAGCTTCTGTCGATAATTTTAATACATCATCTGATTCCGATTCCGATTCTGACATTAATTTAAACACAATGCCGGATACGGTGAATCTTCAATTAGTTAGGTACCAAGCGGATAACATCCCTCATTTCGACGGCAAACAAATAAATCGTTTTATTAGAATCTGCGAAAATTTTCTAACTAATCATCAAAATGTAAATAACCCAAATGCTTAATGCTTGTTTAATCGATACAATAATTAGTAAATTAATTGGTAGAGCAGCTGATTTAATAGCTTCTCGTTCTGAACTCGATAGTTGGTTAAAAATTAAAACAGCCCTTCTGGCAACGTTCTCCGATCAAAGATCAGTTGATTGTCTTTTACAGGATATAATTTCAATGAAACCCAATAGTAGCGAAAGTGCGCATAATTTTGGTTTACGCTTGCAAGATGCCCGTAGTATTTTATTTTCAAAAATTAACTCTACATGCGAAGATATCAATATAAAAACTCTAAAAATTATCCAATTTGAAGATCTAATTTTAAAAACATTTATAAACGGTCTTAATTACCATATGCAGTTAGTTGTACGTTTAAGAAATCCAAAATCTCTCGAAGAAGCCATGTCGTTCTCGTTAGAAGAAGAAAATTTTATCGCTTATAAAAATCGTGTTGATATTTCAACCAAAACTACACCTGTTGCAATGCAAAATAAGCCAAAACCTCTATTAGGTCAATACCCAATTAATTGCCCATTAGCTCCACAAAATTTCACTAGCCCATTTCAACCGCCAACAATTCGACCAAGTTTTAATAATTTTAACCCCCCGAGATTTCAAAATAATTTCCAAACAAGACCTTATTTTCAGAATATTCCAAGACCAAATTTCCAAAATAATCAAAGACAAAACTTCCCGAATATTCAAAGAATTAACCCGATGATCCAAAGATATCAATTTAATCCAAGACCTTACCCATTTATGCAAAGACCTATGCATTCAATTACAAGACCGATGTTTAATCAGTATAACCAAAATCCAACCCCAAAATTTGACAAACCGGAACCTATGGATACTTCATCAGGCAATACCCGTATAAATCAAATTCAACCAAATAAAAATTACTATCTAGCAAAAGAGATTGACAATCAATCCACAACCCCCCAAGCTAATTCAAACAACGAAATATCAAATTTTGAAAGTGAAAATCCTTATGATTTTTATTATCACGAATATCCCATCCTTGAAGAACAATACACCTACGACACAAATTATGATACACAAGAATTTTCCGATCAAATATATCAATTAGACGAAAATAACCACTGTTATAATGAACAGGACGGAAATTTTCAGGAAACTCCGAATACAAGCAACCAAACTTAACGCAAAATTTTCCCCAAAACTACACTTCAATATATGTTAATAATTATAATCATTCTGATTTACCAATAGTTTATTTTCCTGAACTTGATGCTCAATTTCTACTAGATACAGGTAGCGCGAAAAGTTTTATAAATCCACAGTTAGCTTACAAATATTACCCAGACTTTATAAATATTGAAAATTTTTCAGTAATGTCAGCTCATGCAACATCTATTCATAATGAAGTAATGACAATACCATTATTTCCTTCTTTCAATTGTCCTGATCAACAACATAAATTCTATCTTTTTAATTTTTCCCCAAAATTTGATGGACTTATAG